TACGATCTTTCATCAGAGTATTTTGGGCAGTATGTCTGCCGAGAGGTAATGTTAGAGCATGAGCAGGTTGTCAGCGGGGACTGAGATGATTAAGGACAAGGATACACCCTATTTGAGCATAGTAGGGCATGTATTAGCTGCAGCGGCAGACGATCAAGAAGAGGATATTGGAGCGGTGGCTCTTATTGTCTATGATGAGTATCGAGTGTGGTAATGAGGACTCCACTCTTATTACAACCCACGTGATGGAACGTTGGTTGAAGAGTCGAGGATGAGGAATATGATAGTTCGTTATTTTCAGACTGAGAGTCAGGGCTACGACTGGACAGTCGAGATGTCCGGTAGTGGGATGGTACGAGATTCTGAAGGACTAGAGGTAGCCATGATGAGAAGTTTCTGAGGATTTCATCGGAGATTCGGGGTATTTGGAATTTATTGACCTCCATCGGGGAGATCATCGAGCATTGCGTATCACCTTCCAAGAGTAAGTGCGATGTTATTGGTAAAAACAGTATGTGGGTTAGATTGTTGGCCAACCAATTGGTGATGGTTCGAACCCTGAGTGGGGGAGAACGGGTACTTTTTGAGGAGATAAGAGATTTGTTCAAGAGCGGTTAGAGAACTAGATAGAGAGGCCTGCGGTACAGATTCCTGAGACCAGGGTTATTGGTGGTCAATGAGAGGTGCAGAGTGAGATAGTGCATGTGGTACGTGTTTGAGAAAGGATGAGTGTCTCTACGGCAAGTGGCCGTTGGTCGGAGACCTTATGATGGTTAGGAATCCTTCAAGGTTAAATGGTGAATTCGAGGAGGTTGGCTTGTGAGGGTAGTTCGGCGGTTGAGAATTTCTGGATCAGAGTATGGGCTATTATATACAGTATGGGAAGGGAAGAAGTTGTTTGGGCAACCAACTTCAAGGTCGTTAAGAGTATTCTTGCATGAGTTTTGAGCAATAGAGGAGGAAGTTTCGGATTGTCATCTTCGTGTTCTGAGTCGTTGGCAATTTCTCCGTGTTTTAAATTGGGAGATGGAGTATTCCGGGGTTACAAGTGACACGAGGGAAAGACCGGTTGCGAGGTTCCGAGGAAGCAATGCGGTATCTAAGTATGATGCCATGAGTATGAGATCAGTGGTAGAGTTAAGACACTGCGAGGCGTTGTGATGGTATTCCGGGGTATCCGAGTTTAATGTCCTAAAATCTCGGATTATTTTGAGTTTGAGTTTGAGATGACGAGTGGTGTATCAAGTGTTTATGGTTCCGATGGGGGCCCTTCACCTAATTGACATCAAATGGATTTATTTGAGAATGTGAATTGCAGCGAGAAAAAAAGGTTTTGACACGACGGTGGTCGTCCGAAGTAGTGATGCTTAGCCTGGATGGGTGTGTGCGTACCTATCTATGCTGGGCCGCAGAGCACGAGTTAATGATCGTAGTGTGGTGTCAACCTGAGGAGGAGATTGTGAAGTGGTAAGAGTAAGTGCGGTATGACTGCGGTGAGCTGCAGTTTTAATAAGTCAGTGCAGAGAGGTTGTGGTGATGCTACGAGGAGCCGTAGTACTCACTATTCAGTGAGAGGTTGCGGTGATGCTGCGGGGAGTCGTAGTACTCATTAGTCAGCGAGAGGGTGTTGTGATATTGCGGGGAGCCGTAGTACTCACTAGTCAGCGAGAGGGTGTTGTGATACTGCGGGGAGCCGTAGTACTCACTAGTCAGGGAGAGGGTGTTGTAATACTGCGGGGAGCTGTAGTACTCACTAGTCAACGAGAGGGTGTTGTGATACTGCGGGGAGCCGTAGTACTCACTAGTCAGCGAGAGGGTGTTGTGATACTGCGGGGAGCCGTAGTACTCACTAGTCAGCGAGAGGGTGTTGTGATACTGCGGGGAGCCGTAGTACCCACTAGTCAGTAAGAGGGTGTCACGATGCGGCAGGGAGCCGCGTTATTTGTTGATCAGAGCATGACGCAGGAGAGTTCTTAGGCTTGAGTAGCCTTATTTGGGTTGAGTATTCGGGAGCCTGGGGGTAACCCTTTGAGGTTCAATTGCTGGGTAACCCTTTGAGGTTCAATTGCTGGGTCGGGAGATGACCTGGTGCTCAGTCTTGAAAGGGATATTAAGAAGGGAGCTGAGGTTTATGTTTGTCAGATGTCGGGGGACGCTTCTGAACAAGCATGGTCATTGTTCGTGTCTGAGGACAGGGTGTTGAGGGTTCGTTGTTCAGAAGGGTTGTGATTGCAGTATAGTGGATGAGCCCCTAGTGTGATGTGATCTTTCCACTCCTTGGCATATGATCTGGATTGTTTATCATGTCTGGGTCGAGTGATCGGTAGCCAGTTTTGGGCATGGACTTGTTTTATCGGTTCCCACTAGAGAATCAGAGGGGCAGTGAGCTATCGGGGTTTGTTATTCAGGAGCGAATAACGTGGTGACATCTGGAGAGGGCGGTCTGGCTGTGTGTCAGGCTACTAGAGTTCCAGATTCTTGAGAGTCAGAAGGGGTAACATAGTGGCAGATGGGTCTGTCCTTTTCAAGGGAGGAATTCCTATTTGGATTCAGGTGTCCAAAGAGGAAGAAAGTGGTGTGGTATGAGACCCTTTCGATGGTGCTGTTTGGTTAATGAATTGGATCTATATGTGGTGGAGGAGCGATTTCGAGGGCGAAATCTAATTCAAGTGGGGCAGAATTGTAACAACCGGATTTCCAGGGACATGTTTGTGTATGTCAATCTTGAGATTTGAGGAGGGACTCGACGAGTTGAGAGACCAACTCGCCGAGTCGAGTCGAGATTGCCACGTGGATTTAATGAGCGGACTCGACGAGTCCGAGGATGGACTCGCCGAGTAGGTACTGGGCAGAGAAAACCCTAAGTTCCGGGGTTGGAGCCTATTTAAAGGAACTTATGACCTTGGGTGCGCCTCATATCTCCTGTGAGAAACCCTAAATCGCCATTGGAGCCAAGGAAGAGTTCTTGTGATGAAATCAAGTAATTTTGGTGTGGTTTTTCAAATGAAGTGAAGGGATCCAGCTTGAAGGACCAAAGGAGGTTGTTATTCTGAGACATCTAAGCAAGGATCTCCATTTTGAGGTAGTATTTCGCCCCTTCCTTCTGTTTTTGTGTAAAATCCTTGAATCTAGGGTTTTCTTTACCCTTTCTTAGATAGTATATGATGCATATGAGGTCCCAATGTGGAATAAGCTTTAGATCTGGACCTTAAGAGGTCCAGAGAGTCCCAATCTTCCAGCTTTATGCAGTCCCTTTGGGGTTATGGATCTAGGTTGCCATTTTAGGAGCTATTTCTTCATATAAGGGCATAAGAGGGTTGCATGAGCTTAAAGATTGAACCTTTACGTGATTATTGGGTGTAAGAAGGTCAGATCTATAAGTTAGAGAAACAGATCTGACCTTAGAAGGTCTTTTGAGTGTTGCCATGGAGGGAACTCGCCGAGTCCATATGGGGACTCGACGAGTCGAGTCGGGTTGCCCCGCGATTCGTGACCAGTGGTAACCCGTCGAGTGAAAGGTTAACTCGATGAGTCGAGTGAGGCTTTTTGAGGATTCAGAGGACACGCATGGACTCGCCGAGTCACTCGAGTGCATTCGACGAGTCTGGTCAAAGTTTGACCGTTGACTAGAGTTGACTTCAGTTGACCTTGGGGTTTTGGTCAAGCTGATTCAAGAGAGGTCAAAGAGGGGTATAATGGTCTTCTACCCATTATTAGGGATGAGAACATGAGATGATTTTTATTTGAGATGTTATCGTTTTGATAGGAGGAGGCTAGGTCGGGTTATCGAGCACGAGAGGGTATCCGACATCATGCGAGGTGAGTCTTCTCACTATACTTTACCTAGAGTGGTAATTAGAGTTATATGACAGAGTATCTTGTATGCTATTTATGTGATTGTGATGCACTGCATTATTTCTATGTGATTTATGCTGTGAATGTTCCAGAGTTTACAGAGTTAGAACCGGAAGATTCACAGAGTTAGGACCAGAGGGTCCACAGAGTTAGGACTAGAGGGTCCACAGAGTTATAGCCTCGAGTGGCTAATATGTGTTATATGTGGTATTTTGGGGAACTCACTAAGCTTTGTGCTTACAGTGTTATGTGTTATGTGTTTCAGGTTTCTCAGGATCGCGGGACGGCACCGGCTTGATTGTACACACCAGAGAAAGAGTTGTATTTTTGAGGATCCTGGATTATTAATGGAGTTGTGCTTGTATTTTGAATAAACGAGATTTCTATACAATATGTTATGAAAAGTATGCGATTTTGAAATGAAAAATCTGTTCGAAAAATTTGGGTGTTACATTATACGTCAGTGTAAAGCATAATATTATATGAATTACACTAGAATCGGCTATGAAGAACAGTTGGAGAAAGAAAAGTCGGCCAACGATCTAACTTACTAGTAATGTTTATGATATTTAAAGAACAACATTGACTAAATATTAGTTGATATTAGAACTTTCAAGGTTCCTGGAGCCCTATGCCTATTACAAGAAGTAGGAGAGGATGAATTGGTGCTTCAAATTAGTGAAAGTTTACTGAAAAGAGAGACTACCCAAATCATTCAAGCAAGAAAAATGAAATTTTTGGCTATGAAATTTTTAGATGTTACTGTTGTGTTGGCAATGACACTGTCCTATGTTGAAATTTCAAGGGACACTATGGCGTTGTGTCATCCAGATTATATTAAGGGTTGTGAATTGCTGGAGACGGTACTGAAGTTATTACAGATAATACTTTTAATAATAAAAAAATCCTTTTATTGCTTTTGTTGCTTTTCTGTTTTCCTATAAAAAAAATCGGCATCTTGAACCACCAGATCGAGTAAGAATGAATTTTTAAGTTCTTGAAACCTCATATGTTGTTCTTGTTTATCTGCTCTCGTTTAGGAAGAAGGTACAAGCAGTCTTGCACCAGATCTACGAGCACAAATTGATGAAGCTTAGGAAGAGATAAACTACGTAATGTTATAGAGCTTCTGGCCTTACCTCTTGATGGTGAATACAGAACAAGAAGAACAGAAGGTCTTCAATGGTGTACACAATATCTATGGGCAGTTAGAGGAGGTGGTGCCGCTGGCTGTTTTACACATGAAGATTTCATGAATGAAGACTTTTGAGGATGACAGATTGTATATTCTTTATTGATATCCCTGTGAAATCTGCTATCTTTTGTTTCTGTTTCTGATTTTTCTTTTTCTTTTGAAGGTTGAACTCTTTGTAGCTCAAGGGTATGTTTTGTGATATTGTTCTTGTTAAATTTTCTTTCTTGTGGATGAAGCATTATTTTACTTTTACTTTTCTTTTTGAGCAGATATATTTGGGGGTCAAGTATTGGCTAATGATGTTCTTCCCGTTGCATTTTCTCCTCACAAGGAATCAATTTCTTTTTTATGTAGAGAAAGTTTTCTTTTCTAATATATTTTCTTGTGTTTTGATTTGTCGTACAGGTTGACTTTTTTATTCCCTTCCCAAAGTGGATGCACATTTGACTTTTCTATTTTGATACGGAAGAAAGTAAGTTTCCAACTTGAACTTCATAACATTAATTTGACATCAGTAAAGTGTTTATCTCCAACTTGAATTTAATCTTCAAACCTTTTTATTATTTTGTTATTCATATTGTTTGATTTTTTTTTTGTTTTAGATATCGATCCTCATTTTTTGTTGCTAATTTGAGTACTTTTCATCTTTGTTTTCCTACCATTCAAAATTAAAATGTAAGCTCCACCACCTACTTGATAAGGCAATCGGATTTTACACAATAAAACAAAATTTATGTATTAGGTGGTGCAAATTGTTCCTTTTCTTGATTTTATTTTTAGTTTTCAAACTTAAACTGACTTTGTTTCTATGTTAATATTTAGAACTGTTGTTGCTACATTAACTTTGAAAATAAATTATTTTTTTATTTTAAGTAGTTTATTTTATAGACCCTTTCATTGCATTGAATACATATTTGTTTGATTTTTACAGTCTCTTCTTCGTCACACGTTTTAAGTGTTTTGTTTTTGTGAAATAGGCTTTGACCATCATGAATCTAACAGATGTGTTGTGAATATCTTTTAACAATTTTCTAACTGAAACATAATTACAAAATTTTACTTGGAGATTGGTGGGTAGGCCTTGGCTTTGGATGGACAAATAAAAAATATTTGATTGGAAAAAGAGGATAGAAAGAAAGGGGAAAGAATGGAAAGAATTGGAAATGCAAGTTCTTTAATTTTTTATTAGTTTTGTGATGAAAAAATGTATGCATTATTTTTACTTCAAAGTACCAACATTTCCATCAACATTATATTTTTTTGTTTTCTTTTACTTGATACTTGTCTGCCAAACATCACTGAGATGGTTTTTGAATTATGTTCACGGGTTATCATTAAGTAGATATTTGAAGTAAAATGCCTTTATGAGAAAAAGAAATCAAAATTACAAGACTATAATTAGGCATGTTTTTCTGAAAGTGTTAATAAGAAAAAGAGTAAATGAAAGTTATTGTTATTTCCTATAATTTTTTTGCTTTTAAATTTGTTTTTACCTAATTAAAAGACTGTGAATTCCTTCATGTTCAATGATAGTCTTGAGGTGGTCAGCAGATTCTTGACCCAACTTTCTTGATGTCGGAGAAGATGGCCTATTAGTCTACGTGAAGATGTTTTTCACCCTTCTTTTTATTACACTTGGCTTGAGGTTCACTCTTTCCGGTTAATTGGAATTTATACTTTTTCAAGATATTATATGGAGAGTGTAGGCCGTTATTAGCGATCCATATACGGAAACATGTAATTCATTATTCCATTTATTAAACTTGTAGTTCACTATCATATTCAATACTAAGTGCCTTTTGCATTCATATCTATGAATTCCATTCCGACAAATACTCATGTTTAGTAGTCTTAATAAAAAAAATATAATAAAGTTGTTATAAATTTTACTTCAATTATTTTTAATTAAATTTCTTTCTTATGCATTTGATATATTTTATGTTTATTTATTTATCTTATAACACAATTATTTGTTTGTAGACAAGTTTAAAAAAAATACTATCCTTCTCATATCATAAATGAATCAAAAACTTGAATAAGAAACTTGGAAGTCAACAAAGTATTTTGATGTATATTCTTTTTTTGTTCGCTTTTTTAAGTGAGATATTCGTGGGAAATTTCCGGTAGGTAGCCAATTATGAAAACAGTTGGTAGTAATAAAGTGGTTACTATACTAAGTTTAAAATAATTGAGAAAACCGATTGTGGAAGTTGCATTATACTTATTTAGTGAATTACATATATATCCCTCAACCTTCTATTTGAATTTGAAATATAAATATTATGTAAGAATGAGGTGTCGAATTGTTATAGGTTCTCGTATTTTTGTAAATTATTTGTATTTTCGCATGATACTTCCAATATATATATATATATATATATATATATATATATATATATATATATATATATATATACCGGTAAATCAGTCCGACCCATGTTGGACGATCACCAAAAGATTCATACTCTTCCCGACAGATGAACATGACGAACAAAAAGTATTGAATATGGATACACCTCGGTCTTGTTTCGTTTGTTTTCCACATTAGAGAATCACCAAAAGTATAAAAAAAATATATAATTAAAGGCCTAAATCGAGCTCTAATTGACATAACAAATACTAGGAAGATCAAGCGAGCTCCATAGCGACAATTCTCCATCATCCAAAGAGGAAACAAAACACTCCTCTACTGCATCCTTTTTACGTTCTTCAATCTCCTGATGAACCATTCTTTGCATTTTCGACTTTTCTTTACACTTCACACCTCCTCCCGGTCCAACTTTTCGCTGTAAACACTCGGGAATACCATGAAACGCGTAAAGAGAAGCCGAAAACTTACGTTCATATTTCATCCTTTTCATCGCTTCACTTATCGTCATCGGCTCTTCTTCCTCTCCATCATAAACCTGCTCCAATGCCATTTCTTGAGCCATCTCAAATGGTGAAAAATTGTAACCCGATCCAATTTCATCAATAAACCTAAAATCCACCCCTTCATCTTCTTCTTCCTCCTCCTCCTCCTCCCTCCCGTCTCCACCATTTGTATCTCCACAAGAATCCACATCAACAGGCATACACGATTCAAAGCTCACGTTGCTGCAAACATCACCAACCATCATATTGTTTACAGGCAGATACCCATCTACATCGTTTAAAAAATCGGTAAAATACGTATCTAAGAACTCTGCCTCCACCTCCGGTTGCTTCACGTCATCATGTCGATTCACCAAAGCAGATTGTGGTTGAGTGTTGTTTCGGGCTTCGAGCCTATGAAGAAGAAGATTCGTGATTTTTGATGGGAGTGCGGGTGTGGTGGAGAAGGATTGAGAAGAAGGCCAGAAGTTGGTTCGGGTGTTGGATCCACGTAACAAGCAAGCGGCTTCATCATAGGCTCGAGCTGCTTCCTCGGCTGTATCAAAGGTCCCTAACCATACTCTGATTTTTTGTATGGTGTCTTTGATTTCTGCAACGTATCCCATCTACCCGATGGTCTTTGCCTCACCCCAACAAACTTCTTCCGGGCTTTCTGGGGCCCACTAAAAACCATGATCCCTTCAGGACTCTGGTCTTGATTAATTGCTAGCTTTCTCTTCCTAGCCATATCCCGCTATAAAAGTGTCTTTTATTCTCTGGAGTGACTTAAAGATCGATCTTTAACTTCTTGGGGTAATTAGTGATATACTGATATACTGATATGTATCCTCTAAATGAAGATGTGTTTATATATAAATACAGGAGAAGATCTTGTCAAAATGAGAGTAAGAGTTGAAGAGGTCACATCTGATTGTTTATTATAATTTTTGCTTCTAAAAGTTAACATTTGGACGTTTCTTCCTGACCTACCCTAAACATAAAATATTCAATTTGTACACGTATATAGTACTCTTTTTCTAATGGTGTGCTCCTATCCTAAGCATACAAGTTCAACCTGTTCAAGTAAAAATAGGTCAACTTGTGTTAGATTTTATTGCTAATTATGGATCAAATGCACAACATCACAAGATTTAGCCTAACATGTAATAGGTAAACGATTTAGAAATCACACACCAAAGGATCTCAAGTGCTATGACCTCCCAAATTGTTCTGTTAAAATATGAGTCATTTTTAATACTAGTTTTGAATCATGTATGATATATTAATTGTAAATTAATATTCTAATAAATTATTCATACGATACTTGAACCTTCTAATCTTTTGGAGAGGGCATCTCATCGTACTACTAGCTAGGCCAAAGACATATTGTTGGAACTTATTCATAATTGAAGTGGATGGGTTATTAATTTTAAAGGCATAATTTAATTGGGTTTATGATAATAATATTATTATAAATTAGGGGTTTGGTTTTTGATGTTTAAATGGTAACAAATGGCAATTACAAGTCAAAGGCCACTCTTATTCCTCCAAGTGGTATTGTATCAGCATAATCTCGTGAAATGGCAACCAAAAAGGAGGAAATCCACACTCATCCAACACTTAGAATAATCTAGACATGTCTATTTACTCCTAACCATGAAGTGTGATTTGTACTCTTGATGGACCTAAAGATCTTTGCTTTATGGGGTGCACGGTTGTGTTGATGTAGTGATATGCATATCTAAAGATGTGTCTTAGGGTCTATATAGATAAATAAAGAGTTGAAGAGGTCACATCCTATTGTTTATTTCAATTTTTGTGTCTAAAAGGTAAAGTTTGGACGTTTCCTACTGACTTATTCTAAGAGCAAAATATTCATATTGACTTCTGCATGACTAGCATTGTTTATCTTCAGAGACGCCTCTCAATTATTAAGGGAAAGTCAAACCGCATTACATATTGTAATTTGTGCTGATATGTATATGCGTATCGCAGATGGGAATATCCTAAAAATCTGTTGTTAATGTCACAATTGATGAATAATTTAAGAGTGTTTTCAAAGTCAGGGGTCTATATGAAGTTTGTGTAGCAACCAATGCTGACATCTGCATCACTTTAAATAATACAAATTGGCATATAAAATTTAAAAAGAAAACTGTCAAAAGAATAGAAGTAATATATGTTATATAGCATATAGCCTATCCATCAGGAAGTATGAACATTGTCACGTTTTGACACTACATATTGCCTAATTAGATTGTCTCAAGAGAATTTTGTGAACTTTGAGTGAAAATATTTATACTTTATTTCTCATCTCAAATTAATGTGGTCAATTGCAGTGCGGCTAGACACACCGTTTTTAGTTACATGGTTTTTTTGAGTTTTGTGTTTTATACAATTATTCGTCTTCATTCAATAATGTACTCCCTTAATTATTTTGAACCGTCAAAGCTTTATTAAAGTTTGACTCTAAATTTAGTACTACTTATTTTAGTTTTGTGTTTTGTAGTATATTAATTTTATATAATGTTCTTTTGAAGAATTATTTTTCGTAATAAACATATGACATATGCTAAGAAATAACAACTTAGATGAGAGAGTTTTATACAACATTTCATAAGAATAGTAAATTAGTTAATTTTTTTAAACAAAAACTTATAGGATTGACAATATTTAAGATGGTGTTTTTTTTTTTTTTCAATATGTAAATGTATACAGTTTCTCTCCACGTATGCAGAAGAAAGTGTAGACCAGAAATTTGTAGTTTACATAAAAAAAAATTGTTTATATTTTAAAGTATGTTGACTAAAATTTATTCTTTATTATCTAAAAAACACAAATGGAAACAAAACAAAAAAAAATAAACAAAAAAAATGAAATAAACAAAAAATCAAATCAAAGAAAACAAGAAAATAAACAGAAACCGAAAGAAACGAAAAACCAAATCGAAGAAAAACAAATAAATAACTAACACATAAATAACGAAATCGAAAAATAAACATATGAACAAAAACAAACAAAAACCGAAAGAAAATAAAAAAGTGAATTTCAAAGTTAAATGTTAAAAACATATTTCAACTTACGAAGTTATTTTATATGGTGCTACTATACCTACTCTTTCATACCTATTTGTACATCTAACATTAGTCAAAGCAATTAGGGTAACATCATATTAACTTTTAGTCAAAAAAAACTATATATTTTTAATTTTACGTATTGTACCCCATTATTATTTATTGCACCTTCATTGATTCGATTTTTTTTTTTTGTCATTTCGTTGTTCTTTTTGTCTTTATTATTATTATTATTATTATTATTATTATTATTATTATTATTATTATCATCATCATTATTATTATCATCATCATTATTATTATTGTAACGCCCGAATCGTCAGATATAAACCTTTAACCATTATTTCAATTAATCAAGAACTAGACCAAAGTACGATGGGCGTACACAAGGTACGCACAACGTACTCCTTTGCATGCGCGCATCGGGGATGGCCCCTACGAACGTTGGGCGTACCCATGCGTACGCAGGGCATACTCAAGCCAGAGGCAAACCTTAATTTTTAGGGTTTACACCCTATTTAAGCTCATTAAGTCATTCAAGTTCATCACCTTATCAGCCTCCTTTGCCTCTTGAGTCATATCTCAAAATCCTAATCCATTTTCCCTAAAGTTTGAGCTTGTGTGTGTGTGTTTTGGGTGTGTGTGGTGCTTAAAGAAAAAGAAGAAGAGTTGTGAAGAAGCATTGGATTAGAAAGAGCTTGTAGATCCAGAGGTTTCTCATCATTTCTAGCTTATTGGAGGTAAAAAAAGTTTCTACCTTGATGACTTCATGTGTTAGTTTGTAGTTTAGGGTTTATTTCATCATAAAATGGTCCTTCAGGTATTTCTTGAGAGTATGAGCTACTCCAGAAGGTTATAATGTTAGATCCTAGTGTTTCTAACGTCCCTTGAGCATAAAAATGGTTTCATGATGGATTAAGTTCAACCATGAAAGGGTTGAATTTGGGTTCATGAAGTTAGTTCAAGATTTGACCTATTTAAGACATCCAAAAGTATAAAGTTTGCAACTTCATGGATTAAGACACTCTAATAAGCTTAGATTGAAAATTGGACGTTAGGTCTTAAAAGATTAAGACCTTGGAGGTGGACTTTGGCCAGCTGCACCGTACGTTGCACGTACGCTCAAGAAGTCTCGTGGATGCTAAGGCAGTGAGTACGTCGGGCATACTGGAAGTATGCTGAGCGTACTCACCATAGGGGGAGGGGGGTTGGGATTTATTTCGGGCCGTTTTGGGGTTTACGGACTTTGGGCCTTTGTTGGGCCGTGAGTTTTCTTGTGATGGGCTTTTAGACTTGGACCCATTTTTGACATGGCATATCTTTTGGGCCTTGGGACTAATTGTATGTGGGCCTTGGTTGGTAAGGCCCAATAAGGCAAGGATTAAGTAGCTTTTTCCCTCAAAGATAGGATTTAGGGTTTGGACCCTCATGGTGGGCTATTGACCTAATTTCTAATTAGGGTTTTATACTTGTGATCTAGTGAGAGGATTTCGCGAGTCAACAGCCCGAGTGTGATTTGATATCTTCAGTCTGAGGTGAGTTTCCTTCAATGTATCCGTGGGTCGACGACACCAATTCCGACCGCTAGTTTATGCTTGTAGTATGATGATTGTCTTCGTGATAATTGTTTGTTATGCCTGTATTTGCTTGTTATCTCTGTGGCTCTTTTGCTATGTTATTATGTGGTAGTGCTATGGGGTGAAATAGACTCGATACCGCTTGAAAGAGACCGAAGGGGTTGAAATATACCCAGTACCAGTTGAAAGAGACCGAAGGGGTTGAAATATGTCACAACTAGCATTTTAGCTAGAAAATTCTATTCATGTATAACCCTTCAACTATTGTAAATCATATACTCTAAGTAAATCTCACTCAATGCTCATTTAGAGTCATCAATTATGTTCCTCAAAGAGTCTAAAGCCCTAAGTGTTGGATTAGTGTCTAAGTCCATAACTATAATTGGTATGTACTTGACCCGACTCGGCATGGTCCATTTGGGTTGCATGGCATCAGAACATTTGGATAGACCGTTTGTGAGGAGAAGACATTTGTGACATATTAATATATTATAAATTCTAATATATTAATATGAAATCATGTTATTTAATTAGTATTGATCAAGAATTAATTTGGACTTAATTTAGTGATCAAAAAGAGACTAATTAAATATATGAGGATTGATTATGTAAATCAGTCATTCTTATATATGTGGGCTTATGATCCATGATTCCTTATGTTGGGTTTAACCCATGTGGTGATCCATGGATACTCCATGGAGGTTAAAACCCATGGAGCATAAGGAATGAGTAAAGTCATGGGTTACATGGTGTAACCCTAATGTGCACACTATATAAGGACCCCTTTAGCTCAAGAAATTGACACAAGTGATACATATGTGAGGGCTAGTCAATTTGAGCTTGGAGTGTCTTCTTCTCATGGTTATTCCAAGTGTTCATGATGTTGTGTGAACCATTTGAGGTGTCACACTTGGGGCACTAGGCTCTCGAGCTTCATGGAGTCAAGCTACATCAACAAGGTATGTATTTCTATCT